CAGAAAATTGGCGTCCTTATGACACTTAGAAACTTGATTCCGACAAATGCTAAACTTATGCTTTTTAAAACAGCAATATTGCCACACCTTACATATTGCCACCTTGTGTGGCACTTTTGCTGAGCCAGTGATTCTCGTAAAATCGAGCGAATGCAAGAAAGGGGCCTGCGTGCTGTTTTTGTGAACAATGTTAGCTACCCTGAACTTCTAAAAAGAGTAGAACTGCCAAGTTTACAGAACAGGAGACTACAAGACATTTGTGTTTTAATGTATAAAGCCAAGAACAATCTATATCCCCCCTATATCAGTGACATTTTTATTAAGCAAGGATCCAAGTATAACTTAAGGCAGTCTGATTTCTCCGCTGCCAGGTACAACAAGGTAACATATTGCAAGCACTCCCTCCGCCACTTCGGGCCCAGTCTCTGAGGAAAATTATCCCCAGACTTGAGGAAAGTTACCACCTTAAAATGTTTCAAAAACAAAATACGTACATTAGATATAGTTGCACTAATGGATAATGGATGCAAGTGTTGTCATCTCTGCAATTCATAGACACATTTGTCATACTGTAAATATTGTTAATGTCATTAATTTTTTTTATACCTGCGCTTATATTTTAATATTTTTTTACTTTTATTGATATTTATTTATTTTGTGTCCCCTAATTAGCATAGGTTTTTAACCTAAGCTAGGAGGCTTCTTTAGACACCTTAATAAAGTTTCATCATCATCACCATCATCTAGTTATGACCACCTTTTCGAATTTCCGAAGTGGTTGCTTTCGAGAGCTTAATTCGACTGTAGATGGAAAGACTTTGGGGTACTACTTTACGGTACTAGCCTGAGTCAGTTAGTTCCAATCTTCTCGGTGAAAATGATAAAAAAATCCAGAGATTTTAAGTAGTATTGATAGAGTCTAAATCAGACGTTTATGAAGCTGTTCTTTTTATTATTATTATTATTATTATTATTATTATTATTATTATTATTATTATTATCATTGTTAACCATTATTATTGGACATATTTCCTAAGAACATTACCGGATATTGCAGAATTACTTGAGCATTCGAGCGCGCGTTTAATGAAGTTCTCATACCAGCTGTCACTGACCATACAGTCACTAAAGTAGAGCGCGACCTCCTTCGTCTCCCTGTGCGCATGGGTGGCCTTGGATTTACAGATCCTGTAGTGAGCTCATCTTCTGAATACGAGGCTTCAATCAAAGTTACTAATCCGCTCGTGAGGCGAATTGTTGAGCAAGAGCACCAGCCTCCAGATGCCTCAGAAATTCGAACACTGCAACAGAGCACACGAAAACAAAAAGACGACTGTCTAAGTGAGCGGCTGCAGGAGGTGAAGAACTCGATCCCTGCCGACAAAAGCTAAGCGAGCTGTTGAGTTAGCTACAGAGAAGGGATCATCAAATTGGCTGACCATGATTCCCCTCAAACAGCTAGATTACAATCAGAATAAGAGGAAATTTAGAGAGGCAATCAAGTTACCGTACAACTGGGAAATGACGGACACGACCATGATCTGCGCATACGGTGTTCAATTTAGCGTGGATCACGCAATGGTGTGTCAGTGCGGCGGATTCATTATCCAGCGCCATAACGAGCTGCAAGACTTGGAAGCAGAGATGCTAAGGATGGTCTGTAATGATGTGGAAGTAGAGCCGGTACTTCAGGAGGTCACTGGGGAGACATTAAATCATGGCGCTAACAAAGCCCCTGATGCCCGTTTAGATATTCATGCTCGAGTTTTATGGGAGAGACAGAGATCTGCATTCTTCGACGTTCGGGTGTGTTACCCTAACGCAGACTCTTACAGAGACTTGACTCCTAAGCAAATCTACAAGAAGCATGAGAACGAGAAGAAGAAGCAGTATGCGGAAAGAGTCATGGAGATCGAACAAGGAACGTTTACTCCCTAGTTTTCACGATCACAGTTGGAATGGCGGATGAGTGTGTTGTGTACCACAGCAGACCTGCGCAGCTGATCGCAAATAAGAGGGCAGAAAGTTAATTACTCAAGCGCAATTTCCTGGATAAGAGCTAAAGTATCTTTCGCCATCGTACGCTCTGCGATACTTTGCTTGAGAGGCTCAAGATACAGAAGACGACAGCTAGACTTTGTTGACTCAGATCTATAGATCGAAAATATTATAGCCTGCCCGAATTAATTGATTTTTTATTTTATTTTACCTTATTTTATTTTCCTTAAACATTTGAAACAAACTTTTGAATTTTAGAGGCTGATAGTTTTTTTTTTATTGAAATGAAATGTTTTTTAATTCGAATGATATTTCTTAGTTAAATTAACTCTTTCTAAGCTAAATTAAGTGCTTTTTAAATCGACAGGAATTGTAAATAGTGTTTTGAATGAATAGTTTTTTCTTTTTTTGCAACCGAATTGATTGTAAATAGGATTTTAATAGTTAGCATTGTTGTCAATAAAATGTTTTCTTCTGATAAAAAAATATATTATTGTTATTATTATTATTATTATTATTATTATTGTTACAACTTTATTACATATCACACTCTCGGAAATGAATAAAAGAAGGCTTTAACTGAAAAAGTTACAATACATGTACTATTGCAAAGAAAGAAAAAGACAGTCAGAGAACTTACAACTGAAATACGTATAACACTTAACAACTAACTAAGAACACTTAAACAACTAATCATGACTACTAAATTTACCAACACTCGATAATATATTCCTATAAACCATACAATTCAAATACACCTAGTATAGTCCCACAAGGTATACAAAATTGGTGACGACATGAGACTTGATTAAACTATAAAATCAAATACTTAACACCTAATACTTAAGAAGTAATTATTACATACTTAACAACTAATTATGACTACTAAATTTACAAACACTCGATAATATATTCTTAAAATTAAATCATACAAACAAACACACCTAGTATAGTCCACAAGGTATACAAAATTGGTGACAAGAGAGTTAATGAAACTATAAACTTAAGGGAAATAAGTTCTATAGCCCTTCAACAAGTTTTGCATAGACTAAATCAAGTACTCAAAAAATGCAGTCTTAACTTTTGTTACTTATTGTAAGGCTATTGCCAGCTGTATTGCGCACGGTTAACGGAATATCATTCCAAATAATAGTAGCTTGCCAACTGATAGCAAATTGATTGACTTATTTCAGGTTTTATGCAGATTAAAACGTGAACGAGTTATATAATCGTGATATTCAGAATTAAAATGTAGGATCGAGGAAACAGGAGTACGTAAAAGGCTATTTAACTGTGAGAATACAAAACAGGCAGCATGAAATTTATAGATAGAGTGGAGTGAAAGAATATCATGCTTCGAAAAAAGGGGCTTAGAGGTTGTGCGCCGAGGAGAAAAAGTAATTATAGGAATGGCTTGGTTTTGAAGTACGTAGAGTGGTTCAAGGTAGGAAGCGTAATGTAAATTACCATAATTGATGTAAGGTAAGAAAAGAGAATCATGTTAAGTTTTCAAAGTATCCAAAGGTAAGTATCGCCTTGACTTGCATAAAACTGCCATTACTTTAGAGACTTTATCACAGGCAGCAGAGATGTGCAGTTTCCAAGATACATCCTATTTATAAATAATTCACTTAAAAAAAAAAACTATTCCGTCAAAACACTATTTACAATTTCTTTCGTTTAAAAAAACAATTAGTTTTGATAAGAAAATTTCAACTCGAATTAAAAACATTTCATTTCAATGAAAAAAAAGAGAAAAAAAAGAAAAGAAAAAAAGAGTATTTTCTGTCACTGTATTACCCATACTTTCATAGCTCATACATGAAGTAAATACCGGAGTGTCGTCCGTAATTCCAATATGGCGGACGAAACTTGTCTTGTTGTACGTGCAGCAATCTCCTCGAGATTTCTTCTTCTAGTTTTTCAAGTAAATATAGTTGTGGCCTGATGTCATTATTCCAATTATTGTGTTGATATATGGTATTTTTTTTTTCTTTTGCAGTTTGCTGCTAATGAATTTATTGATGATTACGACACTTCCAGTTTTACAGGATTTATTGAAAAAACAAAACTTAAAACTACGTGGTGCGACTGGATATTTCAGAGAGTTTTTGGAGGATTTGGAAAGTGGGATGCAGAGTATTTTCTGCAAATATCAGAAGAAGGTTACGAGTATGAACAGTATATGGCTTTCTTTCCGCTGTATCCTTGGATATTACGAATTTCAGCACTCATGTCTCACCCCATACTTCAATATTTTGTTTCTCAACAACGCAGTGCTATATTAGCTTGTGGATGGCTTTTAAACACAGCGTTTTTCTCACTGGCAGCAAAGTCGCTTTACCAGCTGTCTCGTACTATATTTGGGAGAAATGATGTGGCTTTGATGTCATCTCTTTTGTTTTGTTTTAACCCTGCAAGTGTGTTTATGTCAAGTCTGTATACAGAAAGTTTGTTTTGCTGTCTCCAATTCACTGCTTTGTATTACCTGGAACAAGAGAAAGCTACAATAGCTTTACTGCTCTTTGGACTCGGTTGTGCAACACGTTCAAATGGCATCATATCATGTGGTTTTGTGGTGCATAAAATATTAAAGCGCTTTGTCTCATATGAACTAAGTTCTTTTAAAGCATCATCAAATAAGTGGACGTTGAAATTTCCAAATGTATCCTCATCATTTGCTGTTATTTTGAAAGTAATAATTTCGATCAGTATTGTGCTGATGCCATTTATCTTTTTCCAGTTTTACGGGTACAGTCTGTATTGTACACCTGTTGTTAAAGCCAGGGTGACTCATCACAAGTCATGGTGTGGCAGGTGGCCTCCATTTCCTTACTCATACATTCAGAAAGTGTACTGGAATGTAGGATTTTTACGTTACTTTGAACTAAAGCAAATACCAAATTTTTTTCTTGCTACACCAATGATTATTTTAAGTTCATGTGCTGTGTTGACATACTGCTGTAGTCACAAGAATCTTGAAGTTGTTACAACACTTGGTCTGTTACAAAGAAAATGCGAACTTAATGAAAGCATGACAAGGTGTGTAGTATATACTTAATAAAATTACATGTACTTTATTCCTTACACATTTTCTGTGAAAGTGTCTCTTATAATGGTATTATTTTAGAAGCTACATTGTACAGTAAGGCCTTAGAAAATAGTTTATAAATATTATCATCATCCATAGGGTAGTATAAAATGAACTGAAATTAAATTAAATCAAATTAAATTCAGATTGAAATTTTTTTACTTAGGTTGATTTTCAATTTCTTTTGTCTCCTATTCATGAATTAGAGGGGTGGCTAATGGTAAAATCCGAGACTCGCCGAGACCCTAGTTAGAAATCCAAGCCCGAGACTCTTTGGTAAAAAGTTTCGAGACTCAAAAAAAGTAAAAACAAACCATGCAAAAACGAGACTTCGAGACTTATCAAAAACGCTTCCGAGATTTCGAGATCCTGTTAAAATTTTCCGAGACCCACGTTTTTCGAGGTACCATTCGCCACCCCTAATTAAGGCTAGGTGACAAACAAAATTGAGAATCAAATTCCAGGTGAAAAAATTCAATTTTTCTGAATTATTTTAAATTTGACCTGTAACGTGTATTTCATTCTGTCTTGATCTTGCCCAATAAAGCTTGAAATGATAATGACGACGACGATGATGACGATAATAATATTAAGAGTAAGAATAAGAATAAGAAGATGTTGTACATGTACATGTTAACACTAAGGGTGCATTTCTTATCACCTTATTATGGAAGGCATGTCATTTTGCAGTCCTAGTCCTCTAAGGTTGGCTTGGGGATGCTCAATACACAGCTGTATAATAGAGGACTACTTAATGATGTCTGGCCATTTGGATACCTTAACTGTATTTTGCCAACATTAAACTTTCTCTATTTCAATAGGAGATCAATTCATCAGACAAGATATCAAAAAGAAGATGGTGAATTCTATAACAGTCCTTCAGTCTTCGTGTTTGTTGTTCATCTTGCATTTATGACACTGTTTGGGTTTACCTCAATGCATGTTCAGGTTAGTATGGTGTTTCTCTTTGTGTAAGAAAAAAGTGATTTATGAGATATTTATTACAGTGTGAAGAAAATGTGCATCATCCTGTTTTTAAGTTACTGTAAAATTCCAAAGATATGCCCAGAGCTTATATTTTTCGAAGGGCTTTTTTGAGGGGCTTATTTTTGGAGGGGCTTATATTCGGAGCTAGGGGCTTATCTATGGAGGGAAATTGTGTTTCAAAATGGATTGGGCAGCTTTATAGTTGGAAGGAAATTTACCCTTTTTGCTTTGTTTTACTTTGTATTTGAGGGCAATTTCCGAGTACAAGCCCCCAGGAGGGGGGGTTGGGGGGGGGGGGGGGGGGGGGCTTATTTTTAATGGGGCAATTAGGGGGGGGATTTACTATGGTTTTTTTTTTTTCTTTGACGCGGGTCATCCCCAGATGGGTTTTCTCGCCTTCTCCTCTCATTTACTGGTACGCTGCATCTGTCATCCTCAGTGTTTCTCCTGAACCACCATACAGACCCTCAGAAAGAAAATGATTTTATGTGGGGTGGGGGTTTATTTTGTGGGGGATATGTTGTTTTAAAAGGGGTTGGGGAGGTTTTTTATTGGGGGGAATTTTTCCCTTTTTTTTTTTTTTTTTTTTGTTTTTGGGGGGAATTTCCGGGGACAAGCCCCCGGGGGGGGGGGGTGGGGGGGGGGGGGGTGGCGGCTTATATTTAATGGGGCAATTAGAGGAGTGATTTACTATGGTATTATTTTTGTCATTGACGCAGGTCATCACCAGATTGGTTTTCTCAGCTTCTCCTCTCATTTACTGGTACGCTGCATATGTCATCATCAGTGATTCTACTGAACCACCATACAGACACTGCAGAAGCAAATGGAAGTCTCAGTTGATTCTTGGATATTTTCTCTTGTACTTCTTCATTGGCACTGCTTTGCACTGCAATTTTTACCCATGGACGTGATAGACTTGGATTGTAAATGTAATCTATAGGTCATTGTCAAGACCATTTTCATCATGGAGCTTAATTCCATAATTGTAACGTGAACTGCTATGAGGGTCAATAATAGGGTTCTTCAATCCTGTTATCCCAACCCAAATTTTCACTCATTAATCCCATAATCTTGATAGGTATTTTCAACATCCCACAATCCTGTTCATGCTTTCAATCCCTTATTTACCCCCATTATGCTTTGAAATGCAAGACCCTGAACAAACCTACTAAGGATCCAGACTCTCAGGTTAGGTTGCATTACAACACTTTTTCCCTTGGAGGTACTCCTGGGAATTCTTGTTGTGAGTGTGCCACCCCATTCTTCCAAATCCTGACCTTATGTTACACCAAAAAAGGTAATTTTCCACACCCATTTTTAAACCTGGCCTCTAAAATCCACACCTGTTTTCAGACCTGGCCTCTAAGAAATTATGTCTCCATTAATAAAACATACACTCCTGTAGTTCCCTTGAATACCTTGCCTGATGGGCAAAGTCAATACCTGTTTTTAGACTGAAACGGTGCAAAAACCATACCCTTTGGGTGGCACATACCTATATGGCTTATATTGGGGAGCACCCCCCGAAAATTCAGTAGGTCAAAGAAGATTACGATATAGGATAACTGGTACGCAGACAAAACCAGATTTTCAAGAACAAATGAAATTAATATTTTATCTGAAGAGTACTTTACATGTGACTTCTACCAGAGAATTTTGGTTTGTTAGACTGCAAGTTTTCTCTCTTTTTGTTCAGATTAAGTGAGGGGAATGCATGCATGCAAGCCTCAAGGGGTTGTTTTTCTCTCTTGGGCATTTTGCTTGGTGGACTAATGAAAAAGAGAGACTGCTCATAGTCTATTTGCTTGTAGACTTTTTATCAAGCCCTTACAATGTGATTCTAGTAGTAGTAGTAGTAAACCTTTATTTAACTAGGGTAATCACTTCAGAATACTTAAAAGTATATGTGTTATCAATAGGAGCCCTAAATTAAGACTAATAAAAAAGTTCAAAATAAATAATAAGAAACTAAGTAACTATAAGATAATAATAGTACAATATAACAATTAAAACTAATTCTTATTTACTAAATAATTATTATACACAACTGAGCCATTATAATGAAAACTTTTCTTGGTGGTCTCAGTTCTTACTGCAGGTAAGTATATAAAATTGCTTCTTCTTGTTTCTCTTGAAATAACTTCCTTATTCAACTTAAAATAATAAATAAATAAATAAATTATTTAAACACCTCTTCACTAAACCTAAAATATGACCGTTACGATAGTTGGTGGATGTTGTACCACATTTAGATTTAACTATAATTTTCGAGGCCTGCCTTTGCAAAGATTCAAGACTTTCCATATCTGCTTTATTGCAGCTGGACCAAACAACATCGCAATAATCAAAAATGGGCAAAATTAATGAATTATACATCTCGAAAGCTGCATGTATAGTGATATTCCTTCTAAGGCGCCCTAAGACACCAACTCTTTTACCAACCTTAGAAATAACATAATGAGCATGGTCTTTCCACGTAAGACTATCGTTAAGAACGATGCCTAAATTGGAGTTCTCCTTTGCATGCATGCTTTTTGCCGCCATATTATAGTTAGTTGCGATTCACTGCATCTGAGCACACTTTTATGCTAAAAAGGAAACTAATCCAAACACTGGCAAAGACAGGGGTACATCACTTGTCATTATTGCTTGTGCAATGCTTTGTGGTTTGGGGCATGGTTGAAATTGAAGAAGCTATTTTAATATTTCAGTATGGATGGTATAAATAAGGTTATATTTGAAGAAGCAGTTAAAAGTTCTTTGTTAAACAATTTAAATAAACACCATTTGTAGATTTTTTGTTTAGTTTGTACTTTGAATCATAACCCAGTGGGGGTACTTCTTGAAAATTTGGGCTGGATGAGCAACAAGGGCATGTTTCCTGAAACCGATACCCTATTTCAGGCCAACTTTGAAGAATGTGATATTCCTGCACCACACTGCTCTCCAGACGTAGTTAATTGATAAACCGATAATCAATATTACTCGATAGTGGTCGATATCAATCATTGGTGAATATCGATTTCTGATATCAATCAATAGAAATTGATAAAGAAAAAAGTTGTCACTTCGATTATTATTGATTATTTTCTGATAGAAATTGATGATGATTTTTTTGTCAATTGTTATCGATTTTGTTAATCAATAGTAATTGATAAATTGTTTTTTCTGTGACTTCAATTCCTATCTATATTAATCAGCGGATTAAATCGATTAATGTCGATGATATCGGTTGATTTCCGATAACGATTTTTATCGATTAACTTTGTCTGGTGTTCTTTAGTACTGGCCAATTCTAGCGTGACCCTGGTTTTAGAGAGTACAAAACCTTAACATACCTTCTTTCAGACCCAGACGGTCAAAAGTTCAGACCAAAAGGATTGAAAACCATACCCATCGTGCGCTTGAAAAAGTGGTTCCCGCGTGGATTAAATATTTCGATTTCACCGGATTTAGCCATAACAGCGTCAAATCACAAAGCTGAAAAAAAAAAACCTACTAAAACGAGACAGTGGTGAATTGATTGGAAACAGACCGAAACCGGAAATGACTCCAACGCGTGGAAATTACGTTTTTCCTACCACACCTAGACAAAATGTACAAGAGGGGTATTAAAGTTTCTTTTTCTCTTTTTTAAGGCTAAATGAGCTGAATTGTTTCAAACAGAGAGGAGCTGAAACCATAAATAAGTTTATCTTGATAAATTAATTACATAATTTTCCGCGTAAAAAGGTTACTATAGAAACTAATTGTTCGAGGTTGGCCTGGAGGCGGGAACGTTAATCGAACTTGTTTATATTCGTCATTTGTTGGCCAGTGGAGATTAGATGCTGTGCTCCGGCCTGGAGTAATCTTATGGAATTTCGACTTGCCAAGGGCCGTCGCCGGTAGAATGGGTTGTGGGAATAGTACGGCAAGAGCAGATAACGAAAACGGAGGCTCAAAATTTGATTTTAGCCGACGAAACACGTTAGTTGAGAAGCCCAATGTCGTGGTGGAGATTGGGAAAGGGGTGATGAAAATCGACAGGGAACGGCGTATCGTGTTTATTTTCGGTAGGTAAAAATCTTGTCGTTTTTTATTTGATCCGTAATCTTCCTCTCCAAACAAGCCTTCCGGTAAGAATTACGCTCATCGTTTTTTTTTTCGCATGACCTTCGCAACTGCCAAATTAACAGGATACTTTTGAGAACCAACTGGCATGGCCCTTACGGTACGTTTGAATGTGACGAATAATTCTCGCGTTTATAATTGCATGTACTTTGACCTATATTTTTTCCACTTTAATCTTTCTCTGAAATCAAATTTGCTTTCAACTGGCTTGGAAACGTTCTTTGAAATGCAAAGCCGCTACTAATTGTTTGAACACCAAAGATACCAACAAGAGAACCATTTTGTTTCTGAGGAATCGTAAGCTTAAATTAGTGAAAAGTTTAATGGCATTGGTCTTTGACGCCACTTAAATCTTTTGTCTGTGAAATGCTCATCAGCCAAAGAGGCAGTAAAAATTGCACAGATGTTTATAATGGAAGAAATCCATTTTCACCTTTGTTGGCATTGTGTATATTGTGTCTTCTTCGCCACTTCAGTTGATGATTGAACCCTATTGTTAATTTCCTTAGCGATATTTTAATGCGATATTGCTCGTTCGACACTCTGTTTTCAAAACTTTAAGATTACAGTGTGTTAGGTGATTGTTATAAGGGAGCATTATTGAGAATTTTTGTCCAAGAACAAGGACAATTATTTTTTTGCTCTGAATGTTATCACCGATCCGCAAGAAATTTTTAATTATACTGAGAGTTATTCCCTTCACGTTTCACCTGAGCATAAAAATAATTAAAGTTTATGGTCAGGGTAAATGTCATTTATTATGCATACATTTTTAATACTAACTGTACTCGTTGTCACTGTGAGAAATGCCTGACTAACTAAGCTGCACTCCAGTGGCTGGGAAATTTTTAGAACTGAGACTTTCGCACTTTTTAAGTATTATGGATTGACACTTAGCACAGAGCCCTTCAGTAAAAAGGTATACTCCTAATGTGTTTTATAAAGCCCGGTTTCCATATGATCATCCCGATTACCCCGTCATTTAAAAAAGTTTCAAGATGATCCCTAAGACTGGGACAATTGGTAGTTTCCATATAATCTTCTCCATGGCCTCAAGACAAGAGGTGCGTGGTCGTCAGTGATGTTTCTGGGTCGGACAATGGAATTTTGCATGTGTTTTGTAAATAAGCCAATCATGATGGTGAATTTTAATTGACAAGTGAATTTTGTGGCTTGCTATCTGCTTTTTCTCTTGATTTTTTGGCAGAGAGAAGCTACAAGAGTTCCTTGAAGACATAGTGTCATGTCAAGAACTTGATAGATTAACGGACTTTCTCTTTTTTTTAATTGCACCCATACACAATGTGAACATATTTGTATTATTATTTTTTCAACTTCCGGATTACTGGAATGGGGATGATGATTTCTGGGATAGCCTTTGATCGTCCCCATCATCTCAGTCATCTGAGAGCATTTCTATATGATCGCTTCAGAATCTACACGATCGTCCTGATTGTCAGGATAACACCCAGTTCTCTCCAAGCGATCTAGGTCATCTCAGTCATCTGGGTTGTTTGCGATTGTCTGGGTTGTGATTCCATATGATTGTCCTTACCGTCTGAACATTATTTGGGATGACCAGTATGATCAGGACAATCTGGACGATCATATGGAAACCAGGCTTAAGGTTTGAACAGTTATCTTTTAAGGTCAAGTAATACAGGCAACATTGTTGGATTACAAGTGAAAAAGCATTTTTGTCCGTGTTACAACCTGTGCTCAACTTGTCACGCAATAAATTTCCGTTTTGCAAGTTGCAGCAACACTTTACGCATAGTACACCCAAGTTCTGCTTTTTGCAACAAACTTTCAGTTTTTATTACTTGGATCACAATGCGTGTGATTGGTCAGTTCTCCTGCATAAAAAGCATGGGGAAGGTGGTGAGCATGCACACTAGACCTCAAGCATGTCTGTTTTCATGTGACTAACTTTCAGGATTTCAGGCATAAGTGGTAAAGAGCAGGACTTGTTTCTGAGAAATTGATAGCTGCAAAGATTGAGTGACTGAAAGAGTTCCTCTATTTGGATAGTTATGGTAAAGAAACAGCAAGACATTAGACTGTTTTAAAATCATGCAGTACAATCGTGTCAAGTAGTTAAATACCTTGAAAGAATTCCATTCACTTTCTCCCCTGTCCTGACAAATTCCACTTAGTTTGTCCTATATCTAGAATAGAGCAGTAGCCCATCTTTATTAATTTGTAGTTTGGACAAGAAAAAAAAACTTGAACAAATTTCATATCAAATGATAATGTTTTGTCCTCGAAAAAAAAATTGAGTGACAGAGCTCTAAACTATAATTTGTCAATTTAAATAAATTTGCTTTTAGATGATGTAGACCCGTTTGTTTGGCATATCTGTTCAGCCAAGTCTCCTTTGCTCACCAGTTAAATGGATGCAAAAACTCCTCAACCTAAAGATTCAATTTTTACATGACTTGTTTATTTTTTCCAAATAGAATATGTAAATACTTGCCTCGATCCTTTTATATGGTCACATTTATTCATTAAACGGCCATGTTTAGAAGCATAACATTGACAGAAAAATTGGAATGAAAAATTGCAGAAAAAATTAGTTTTTTTGTGATTTCTAGGTGGACCTGGATCAGCAAAAGGCTGTATTGTCAATGACCTGAAAGCCATGTTTAGCTTTGCCTTTGTATCAGCAGAAGATTTAATTTTACAAAAACTTCCAGAGAAAGCCACTGAACAGGGTCTTGAACCCATGTCAGGAACACATGGACTTGCAGAACTTTTGAAAAACAATCCAGATGTTCTCACATTGGACTGGGTTTTGGAAATTCTTGAAGAAGAGATCAAGAAATATCCTGATCAACCAATTCTGGTGGACCTAATCCCAAATCTTAAATTTATGATGAGAGTGGATGGATTCATCAAGAAATGTGACAAAGAAATGGAAGAATTTGAAAAGAGGGTGAGTGTTGGAACTGTTGTGTAATGATACTATATTTCATGTTATTTCAGGCAAGCTTAGTGAGCCTACTGCCCTGGGCATCAGGGGGCATTCTTATTTCAGGTATTTACACTTCAAGTTGGTTAATTCATCATCTAAGATATGCATGGGAGTAGTCCGTAAATGAGCTTTTGCAGGGTACATTGTAGTGATAGGGGAAAGTGAGGGCTCTCACAACCCCCACTACCAACCTCTCCTGAGGGTTTGTGTGGGAGCTAGTATGGTAGCTATTACATGAAGAGGTGCCTGCTGTGTGTGGCCGGCCTACAATGATGAGAAATGAGCTTTGCTTCTGAGTTACGACCTTTCCCACTGCCTCACCAGCAGAAGAATAATAATTAAACTCAAAGGTATATATTACATGTACTTCAGTGCAGGGCAAAGTTGTTATAACTTAGTTCCTCTTTCCACCAGTAATAAACTCTCATTTTCCATACATTAGCTTCAATTGTAGCTCCAGAACACTGTACTACTACTAGGGCTGAGCTCAAGAGGTTGCCTGGGTGGTAACTTATTTTTGTCTTTGAGTTATCAGAAAAATCATATTCTCTCAGACAGACCTATATGCTGGGCAACCAGCTGGAAATATGATTGAATTAATTGAATGAAATAATTATATCTACAGTATATTTTTAAATTTTTAGTTCCCATGTGCCTTTGCCTTGAACTTGACGTTATCAAAAGAGGATCTTTTAAAAAACATAAAGAACAGTCATTCTCCAGCCTGTGCAAAGCCTCCAAGCTCAGATCCAAGAGATGCGTCCTCTGACCAAGGTGATGAAATGGATACAAGCAGAACCAAACGCCGTTTTGTACTTTATGAAAGGTCTGTACAAGATTTCTTAAATTACTTCAGTATTGGGGACAGAATAGTGAGGTTTGACACATCTGCAGCGCAAGTGCAGCATATCTGGGATGCTATGATGGACTTCTTTGCCGCAGAAATGGATTTTAGTGCCAACAGAGTCATTAACACCGTGGTACTTTTTTCGTTTGGTATGTTACATTAACTTTTTTTTTTCTTTGTTCTGTGCATGGCTTCTAATGATATGCAATCTCACGGTGAATTGCATTAAAAATCTCTTAATAGATTATATAACATTATTACATACTGTAATCTGGAAAAAATATCCTGTTCTTGACAACTGTTGTAGTCATGGCCAGCATCATACATGTGTCTGTGTGATCAGCCTGATAATGAATAAAATACCATGCTTTCAATCTTGTACATTGTACATGGAGAAAAAAACGTGAAAGGAAATTCTATAGCACTACAGACTGTTTTTTTAAAATCAGTCTGATTGTAGGCCTGATTTTGTCATGGCACTTTCTTATAGGTTAAACGTTTGGTCTAAATTAAATAAAATAAAACAAATAACGAGAGAGAACAACAGAAACAGAGAACAACTACATAGTGTTTCTTCATCTACACTAGACCTTTCCCGCACTACGCTCCAGTGAGCAAACGTGAAGAAATGAGGACAAGGCTCGGTTGGACAATTTCATACAAATCACAGTAGTTTGTCCACCTGAGCTTCGAGCTTGTACCTTTGTTTACAGGAATGCAGGAAAGGTCTATTCCTGGTCAAATTGGAATTTAGAAGTGTTGGTTTTTTTAGAAGGGGAAATCCGGAGTATAGGGAGAAAAATCTCTTGGAACAAAGAAAAGAACTAACAACAAACTCAAGCCACATATGGCGTTGATGCGGGAATTTGAATTTGGGCCATATTGGTGGGAGGCGAGTGCTCTCACCACTGTGCCACCATTGCTTCTCTTGCACTCTAAGTTGCAGAATGAAAGTGGATTGGTAGATATATGTTTGGCTAACATGCACCGCACTACATCCATTGACTATAGCATTATAGACCGGCCTTAAAATAACCTCCATCTTTTTGCAGACGAAGAAACATACAGGTCAATAGATACCAGTAGATATCCCATGAAGGAAATTCTACTATCTGAGCTAACTGAAAAACCTCAGGCACCTGCTGTAAGTATTAGCTTCTGAGACAAAGCATTCTTCGTTATTTTCATTTTTTTTTCCTTATCTTCACATTGGAAGAAAATGATAGACTAAGTGACTGCTGTATCATAAGCCTGTGCCTGCAGGTTCTCGGATATTATATGCGTATGATGGAGCTTGGAACAGGCCACTGTATTATTTTCTAACCATTTTTGTCAATGAATTCCTTACCTAGTAAGTTCGTCTGGCTGCAAGTAATTCTGTTGGACTTTCGTTATTCACTCCACAAATCTGTGAAAGACATCAGACAGGTGTTTCTAGAATCACTTGGCCCTCATTCCAAAGTGCATCATGATGTGTAGTGGTTGGCTGTGTGTAATTCCACAGATAGATGTACATTTTCTTCACAGCTTATAAATGATATTTTCTTTTTACAGGAGGATGTTCTTTCAGTGCTTGCCAAGCATTTAGATGAAAGTGCTTTGCAGACACGTTCATTCTTGGTTGACGTTTCAGGTACATCAATTGATAAAGAACATATCTGTGATCAGGTAAACCTTATAGTAACATAGAATAAGTTTAGTTACAAGCCTAGGATTTCGTCCAAATTAAGAACATGGTTCTGGAAAATTTAAAGGGCTTAACTTATTTAGCTTGTGGTGAAGAGTTTAACATTCTTTCTTTTTAAGACTTTTGCCTTAACCTCTCAGAATATTGCAATCGACCCGCGCTTTACTGACAGTATTCTTTGTCCCTGGGGAAAGCCCTTACATTTTCCCTAATTTAAACCCGCTTTATACGGACACTCGTTAATCCCAAAAACAAACTCTTGTTTCTTGCAAAATCAACAGATTCTCATAAAAATTCTACCTCGCTAATGCGGACACTTTATTGGCAACTACCCTTTCCTTTTTGAAGGTGGAAAAAACGTCTGTCGACACAGCATTTCGATGTTCCCAGCGCTAAAGTGCACCGGATAGGATGAATTGTAGACGTCAATTTCGGACTTAATTTTCGCACAAAACAAGTTTTGCAGAGGAGAACGTTTTTGATTGGGGTAATGTATAGATGAGCGATTTTAGGTGTTGCCGTTTACAAAGTCTGCGAAAGGACGGCTTTGTGAAGGTCAGAGATGTTTAATTTGATGATGCCAATGTTTTTTATTTCTTTTATTAACCCATTCGCCCCTGAACCGCCCGTAACCGCCCGTGCGGATCCAGGTCCTTTCTACCCATTGTGACGTCATCAGTTTTAACGGTCCAGGACAACTTTCTTCACTAACTTGTGCAGAGTGAAGAGATAAGTGTTCGACCTGTAAACCAGTTTGTGGTAAGTTTTAGCTCTTTATAGCACGACAGTGACCAGAAAACCACTCGACTAGCTTCAAAACGCGTTTTTCGGCAAAATCTCTAGGAGCGAATGGGTTAAAAAAAAAAAAAAACACGACCCGCTTAATACGGACACGTCGTTGGTACGGAAGCTTTGTGTGGCCCCTTCAGTGTTCGAATTAACGGCGTGTGACAGTCATTATATAAATGCTGTCTCGTAGAACCAGGTCGTAAGTTAGATTTCACTTAACTGCGAATAACAGCAGTTGTTCGGGCAGTAAAGGCGTTTCCTTCTCTAAAAAGCTGGTCTCAGATTGCTATGGATAACTTCTAACACAAGAAACTGTTTTCTATTTTTCAGTTCACAAGACCACAGATTCTTTTTGTTGATGTCGACATTGGACAGTTAGATTACTTCATGCACGGTCTGAAGCGGAAAACTAACAGAAAGAAATCCATTTTTCGGAAAAAAGCTCAGATTTACAAGGCAGTGAGCTCGACAGAAAACGAAACTTTACTCTTCCCAGAACACGTTGACACGGAGATCTGCAGAAGAATCGCTATCTGTTTAGCAGACCAAAGAACCGCACACTAAATTAAAGGAAAGCTTATCTGTAGTTAAAAAAAGAAACTTCCTCCTTGTTTTTAAATATTTATAAAGTTTTTCGAACTCGATCCTAAAAGTTAAATTGAACTGGAATGTTTGTCAAAGCGTTGTACAGCAATTTTGTCGATGTTGAAGGTTTTTACTTTCTCTAAGGTGTTTCTACGGTGTTTGTAAAGCAAGTCGGCGATTCTTCGATATATTACCAGAGTTTTATATTTTTGAAAAAAAAGAGAGGGATTATTTATTAAAAATGATTGTTGATCTGATTTGATTAGACATGTTAGATATTTGACCTCGTTTGTACATGGCAAATCCGAAAAAGACTTTATGTTTGCAACTGAAAGTTATAATTTATAGTTTGTCATTAAAAATGGTGTCAATCAAGTCGGCCAAAGATTACTTTATAAATAGTTCATTATATACAGTGTAAATAAATTTTTTTTATCTTCGTTGACTTTTGTTGACGTGAGTGACAAAAAATGTGTGGTTAACTTTACGTGATGGAATATATTTTTGAATGACAGCAGTTGTTTATGATGTTCTTCTAAATTTGGGTGGGAGATTAGGACTTTGATAGATGGCCTTTTGTCTATGAGTCAAAGTTGCGCAAAGCTTGAGATCTACTGCGTGGCTTATCAAATTATTTTACGGAGGCAAGGTGGCCGAGCGGTTAGAGCGCTGGAATTGTAATCCGAACGTCCCGAGTGCAAGTGTCCGATAAGCCATCTTAAATAGCCAACTGGTTTGCCTCCGGCTAGTTGGGATTCTTAACCTTGTGGGCCGCAATGAAAGGTTTTACCAATAATTGTGTCATCCCTATGAAGTCAGTTTTTGTTCACTCCATAAGCTTGGTCACAGTGTTTTCACTGTTTTAGCCTTAGCTAGCCTTGTGTTATAAGCCAAGCTTCCCAGGAACGCTTGCGTTCAAATTTTATATTTTATCCGTGGGGCGGTTAAGTTACCATCTGTTGGAGTAAAGTATCCAGTGGCACTTCTTCCCCTCTCATGCATTCAGACTCTCCTTTCAGTTGTTTGCCCTATTACAACGGTACAAAGCCAGGGCAGAAATGCACTAAATCCGTCAGGCTGCGGGCATTACCGGGTTCCCAGGCTTTAACTTCTCTTCGCTTCCCAGATTTTATCACTTGTCTTCCCCCTGGGATGATTATTTAATTATTTAATGATGATGATTTATTAAACTCAGCTCAGTTTTACACGACATAAAGGTTAAATTTACATAGGCATCTAAACACAGTACAACTAAGGAATAAAAGAAAAATTGTAACAATAAAATAGAGGGCGAGTTGGGATAATCCAAATAGCAAAGGCTGATCTAGTGGATGGACCACGTGACGTCGCTTTTATCCCATTAATAAAGATGGCGGGTTTCGTGAATAATATGAACAACAAGGTCTGACTGTCTTGGTATTTTGGGCCTGTTTAATTTACACTGCAGTGAGGGACCCCAGGTTGGTGAGCTAACTCGCTTTGGTGGGTAACCCTCCTGTCCATCTAATCGCTCACTTGTAACGCAAGCGAGATTGCAACGCGTTTTTCGTCGTATTCAGGACACAACGGTGGAGTCATTGTGCCAGGCGTTCCTTGCGGAGACCGTGGAAAGAATAGCTAAGAATCGTTGCGTGATCGAAGCCACGCCTGTTTTGCGACGAATGCTTAGGGAAAGATTAAATTCAGAGCTTTTCCGAAACGTGTCGGTCCACGAATTCTATCGCTTAAAAGCGTTTATTACTTTGGAACGAGTGAACACTATAACAAAACTACGATGTTCGGGTGTTGTAAACTTTGATTGTATGCAAATGACCTTGTTATGAGCATGCGGCTTATTTTTGGTGATGATTGAAATGACAGGCCATGTAAATCACTTTTTTGATCTCTGGCAATGATATGATTTCTCTGGAATCGAGCCCCTTGAATTTTCGTGTATTTATACACGCGTATAGCCGGCGACCGCAGACGTCTTTCCGGTCGTCGCTAAAACGCCTACTAAATAAGTCATAGAAAGAAATAAAAAGTATCGACGTCGATAAGTAGGAAGTATAAAACCTTTAGCGGGTAAATCCAGTTTCGTGTAGAATTAATCGCCTCCTCATTTCTCGATCTAATCTCCGAGCAAGCGAGAGTCGATGTCGCTGTAATAGCGTTCTTGTTTTAATTTGATCACATTTACATGATAGGTGGGGTGACCCACCACATGTGACCTCACCTGTCCGGGGTCCCCCACCTCCATGTAAACGGGCTCTTAGAGTTATTTTAGTAGTCGGTTGTCCTTAGGGAAGGCTAATCGTTTTGAAATTATGAAAACACACAAAAAGTGTAGTTTAGGATTACTAAAAAAATTATTGTCAGGAGTGGGATTCGAACCCACGCCTCCATTCGGAGACCAGAACGCCCGCCCCATTTCTTAATAGGAAGGTTTTATGACCTTGAGTCTGGCGCCTTAGACCGCTCGGCCATCCTGACCCGTGGTGTAGTGGCGCTATTTTTAAAAACGTTCTTAAACGGTTTAACCCCTCTTCAAGCCTTCCGTTCCAGAAAAGACAAGATTCTAAATATAGTGAAAATGTATTACCATGTTAATACTCAAATGACCCCGATAACATACCCTGGTCAGCGGTACATACCAGTTTAGGCTAAATAAGAGAGTGTCCAAGCCTCTTAGGCTTGTTGATCTCCCATCGTTTTGGAACTGATATTTATTCAGTATATCAAAGTTCTCTTTATACCATAGTTGCCTTTTTTTCTATGATCAAGAAATTAGCTGCAAAAGCCGTAGACGATCATGCTGGTTGTCCGGGGGGGGGGAAGGATACTCTCTATGGTGGCCTACACGGGCTACCCTGTTCAGTCTTCAGGTCTTCATGAAAGGGTAGGGATTTCATTAAAGGGTCTTTAAAAGGGCTCAAAAAGACCAACAGATGAATTTTATGGAAAACGTTGTATTTTTGTGATTGATTCCTACCGTGTGGCACGAAATTTTAAGTTTGCGGGTTCTAATTTTTGCGGTTTTTCCAGCGATCCGCAAAAATGTTCAGGCAAATAAAAATTACCGCAAACATATTTCCCGCAAAAATTTACTGCATAGTAAATATACTCTAACTTTAATTCGCTACACAAACATACAGCACTAACAAATCGTGTCGGCTCAATTACAATTTGCCTCTTTCATTCAGAAACCAAACGGTATACAATGAATTACTGGTTATACTGTTTGAAAATATGTATTTCTATTAAACGTACTGAACAAAAACGAAAATGTTATCAAAGCTGGGAACTGTGTTCTTTCTAAAAACCGCAAAAAATGTAATTTCCAGCTAGAAAAACCAATCTGTCTTAATCGCAAAAATTAGTTCCCGCAAAACACAAAAAATCGCCAATTCGCAAAAACAAACTCCCTCAAAATTTCGTGCCACACGGTATTTAAAATAAATTGCGTTACTGCCGGCTTACACTTGCGTTTTTTCAGGGAGTGTTTTGCAGACTGATCTTCCCGATCTGCAACTCCGCCTGCATTGCACATTATTTTTCAGCCTTTTTGTGCTGAAGGTCTGTGTTACGTTTTGTCGTATTGCTAAAATGGTTTGCGATTTTCTTGTTTCCCACGGCAAGTTTTTAAAAAACGTCTGTGGGCATTGGAAAACGAAAATCATCTTTGGCAGCAGTTTATAGCAAACCCTAATGCACTTATCAGAGGCCATCACGGGATGGAGAGTTGTGGAGAGTTGAGAGTTATGGCATTTTGACTAGTATCAAGATTTGCAAGGGGATGGGCCTCAGGATCAGGAAGTCGAGGAGTGCTGAGGATTCTCAGAGTGTTAAGAGCTTTTCGTAGTCTAAGAAGGTAGAGAAGTCCTTCTATATAGAGTAGTTAGTGTTAGAGAGGCAATGAGTTAATTTCTCTGTTCTTAAACTGTCCCAAGCTACATATTAAATCCATCGCATGATCATTATTTTTCGTGTTCCCCTTCAACCTGATTAAATGCATTCACGTAACCTAAGATACAGGTCGAAAAATGATGACGATGATGATGAAATGATTTCATTCATTGACGAGTAACACTCCTGTCAATACTTTGGTGAAGTCTGTGAATCAAAGCTGGTGTGATTTCTGGCACGGTCCATGCGCATGCATGTTTTCGTCTCCTTGACCAACGTTCAGTTTTATCTTGTTTGTAGCATCAGTTCGCTGCCTGGCTTACAGATTGTTGTTCAGACTATTCTACAGTCAGACCCAGGTTAGTTTAGCTAATAGAAGCCTTCTATTTTACCATTTCTTTCCAAATAGCACCAGCCATCAAAACGCAAGGAAAAAACGGGGTTTGTCTGTAATACCCAGGGCCAAACAGCGTTTGAATAAAATGTAGATTTTCATTTTTGATGAGTTATTACAACGTCTAACACTCACTTGTTTGAGAGTATTATTTCTTGATTTTTCTCAGGTGGAATTGGAATTTTGAAGTGTTTGGTGACGGACGTTACACCTGATCGACTTCTCATTCTGATCATGTTGTATAGAACTCTCTAGTTGCCTTCTAATTGTCTGTCTGTGATTATGGACAATGTCGTTTTGTTAATGATTATATTTAGGATAATGCCTGAGATCCGAGGCCTTCTTGAAAATGATGACCGATCGCGTAGGCCAAGGAGAGTGGGTATTGTCCGATTTAATGCACCTGTCCATTGTTTTAGAACCAGCAAGTCATTATTGTGTCTTCGGAAGTGAAACAGTAGGTTATTATTCGTAATAATGACCTCCTGTTCCACTTTAGCGACCTGCTCTTTTATTTATTGAAAATAAAGGCCTTTTCCAAACAATGTAAAAGTTCATTAATTGTTGTTCTCTGTGCAGACATGGCCAATGTTGTTTTGCTGTAGGAGACTTTTTGGTGTTCTTTTTTGCAGGCATGGCCATTATTGGTTTTGTTTTACATTTAGGTAATTATTCTCTCTGCAGTCACGGCCGATATTGTTTTAATGATCATTTGTTGTTCTGTCTGCAGACATGGCCAATATTGTTTTATTATTGATGATAATCATGTTGGTGTTTTCTGTATTTGGTGTCACCCTGTTCAGAGACGTTGTACCGAAATATTTTGGAAATCTGTCCAGCTGTATCTTTCTGTCATTCCCATTGTCCTGATCTGCTCAATCTCCAAAGAGTCCGAAAGGTGTATCTGAACACAACGTCATAATACGGTAATATCCATGTTTTAAGCTTTCCCGGTTATAAGCCCATTTATTTGTATAGAGGAATTTTATTCCGGTTTTCAGCACCCCAGTAGTAGTTTCATTATAAGGCCCTTCCCCCCAAACCCCGGGCAAAAGGTCCATCTGTATGCAACTGTGTTCATGTTGTTTTGTTATTGCCCGGTTACAGTTAATTAATGTTACAGTGTAGAATTTCGTCTTGGAGTGAGATGTAGTGTGCCTTTATATCAGTTTGTTTCGAGACTTCTTGTGTTATTGTATATATTATTCCCTCCTGTGATATATGCCTCCCCAAAACCTCTAACGAAGTGTTTAAACCGAATTTTTACGGTAACAATTTATAATTGAAAAATGAATTAATTCTTAAAAAAAGTCTTTTTGGGCCGGGTTGCATAAAGCATCTTAAGATTACAAGACTTCGTTAGTATTGATCCAAAATGATTGCTGCGAATGCTGGATGTCAATAATGTGTGTATGTATGTAAAGTGTATATCACCGCATTCTCCTCGATTTCAAGTATGTCCCTCCAAATCGAGGCTCTTTTGTTCGCAGTCGATCGTTTCAGGAAGAAGACCTACATGTAAAGAACACTCGAGGAAAACTTAAAGCCCGGGGGATATCCTGTTTCGTATAGAAAGCCACGTTTTTGTAAGCGAAGAGTATGAATTAATGCAACTGAAGGTAAAAAATTCCTGTGAATAGAAGCGATACGTTTCTCAGAATATTTCAAGCAATTCTTGGAACTCTACGGTAAATAAACTCGGTGTTTTGGCTAAATTTGTATTCAGCCAGGCCTTGTTGTAGTTATTTAATTGATAAATAGCTTTAGTTATTAAGAGCTTCTCTGGAAAGTGTGACAAGGTTTGTTCTCCCTTGGTACAAAAGAGTTTTATAGACGACGGAAGCAAAAATTGAAAATGATTTGATACGCTCGCGAAGCGTTTATATATGAACCAGTTTAATATTGAACTCGACTTGAAATTCACTCTTTCACTCACTCCATCGCTCGCGTGCACTTAACCTTATCGTGGACAGGTTTCAGACAATTACTTTTAGTTACACCACACACCTCGCAAAAAAAGAAGAAGAAAAGAAAGAACAAAGTAGGGACCTTCTCGACGATTTTCGCGGTAGCTTGCCCATCCAGTTCTTAACCGACAGGGCTTAACTTAAGGGGTGCTTCTTAAAAACAACGACTTTTGCGGGGGTTTTTTCGCGATGCGTATTTCTAGTAATACGCTGATTTATTCTCACGGACCTTTATACAATGTAGCTTGATATACACACTTATTTTGGTTCAAATTTCAGTTTTTATCGATCGCCTTCGTGTCGTGTTACGTTAGATGCACAGTTTATATTTAACACTGTTAATGTCAAATGTCAACAAGCGAAATAAACTGTAACTAATTCAAACTAACTGAAATGCCAAGCTTTACTCAATCAATCAAATATTTATTATGTAAGGATCATCCATAAAAGGAAACGTCAGAGGTAATCCCTATCGAGGACACTCCCTAGATAAAATATAAAATAAATATACTACAATGTAAAATTTAAGAATAATTAAGAAATGGCTAAAAACATTTATAAAAATTTTACAATACTTTGTAAGTTTACATCGAAAAATGGTGAAATCCTGTTCGTGCACTATCTCTTTAGGAACTGCGTTCCACTGTTTAATAATTGTAACAAAGAATGAGTGCAAAAAAATAAAATCACTCTAGCTAATGGCCGTCTTAATTTAAATGAATGGTTTGATCTTGTTTTACCATAACAATTAAATTCAAAATAATCATTACAGTTGAGGCCATTAAGACCACGAATATAGTCTTGTAGCACTCTAGCAAAGATAGATAAGACCTCCTTGATTGAAGACTGGACCACCCAAGCATTGCCTTTCTTTCTTCGTACGGAGAGTCCCTAGATGACATCGGGAGAGCATATTTCGAGGCCCTACGTTGGACTCGTTCAAGAGCGTCAATGTTCTTCTGTAAATAGGGTGACCAGAGAGGGACAGAATATTCCAGAATGGGTATAACCAAGGCCTTGTACAGACGAGAAAAGACTTCCTTGTTCCCTGGACCGACATTCTTTTTAAGGAAACCCACAATCTTGTTGGCTTTATTTACAACTTTCTGCGTTTGGGTGTCCCAGGATAGATTAGAAGTCAGTGAGACCCCCAAATCAACCATTTTGGTGACAGACTGAAGTGTACAACCGGAGAGCTTGTAAGGATAGCTAGTATGATCTCTCGCATTGGTTACCCGTAGCACCTCACATTTGTCAGGGTGAAAACGAAGTTGCCAATTTTCACTCCGCTTCTGTAGCGTGTTGAGGTCACATTGAAGTTGTTTCTCGTCGTTTTCATCGTAAATAATCTTGTAAACCTTGCTGTCATCTGCAAACAGGCGCATGCTCGACCTTACGCCAGTTGTGATATCGTTAATATGGGCAAGGAACAGGACTGGCCCAAGTACACTACCTTGGGGAACACCAGAGGTGACCATCGTCCAAGGAGAAAAGTGCCCACTGAATGAGACTCTTTGTTTTCTCCCAACGATAAAGTGGGTTAGCCAGTTAAGGAGATTTCCACCAATTCCATATCCCTTCAACTTCGCCAGGAGACGCTGATGAGGAACAGAGTCGAATGCTTTTATAAAATCTAATAAAGTTACATCTACTTTATGCGAGCATTTCTTGCTTTGGCCC